AGGGAAGATTGGTGAGATCAGGGAATATTGGGGGGATCTGTGGAAATGAATGGGATTGGGGAAAATGAGGAGGGTCAAGGAGATCTGAAGGGACTGGGGGGCTCAGAAAAGACTGGGAGAGATCAGGGGGATAGCAGGGGGGATGGCCAGGAACTCTGGACTCAGCATGGAGACCCATCCAGGGAGGATCCGGCCTGTGCCCGGTCCCTGGGGGTCCTCCAAAGGTCCTGCAGGATCTGATGGATGCCCTGACACCAGCTCACCGTCCCACAGCATAACAGTAAAGGACCTGAAGGCCATGCTGCCCCAGGTGAACTACCGTGTGCCGAACATGAGGTTCCTGCGGGACAAGCTCGTGGTAAGGCCCTCCGGGTGCCCAGGCCGCCCTGGCCGTGCAGCACAGGCCTGGGGGAGGGAGGGCTTGGCACCTTCACAGGGACATGGGACTCCTAGGGGGCATCCCCACCACGTCCGGGGGTGCAGACCGTTCTCCCACTGCATGTCTCGGTGCACGGCCACCCTCCCGCCGCAGCCCTCAGTGCCAGCCCCACGCTCACATGCCACCCTCTCTCCCCGGCGCCGCAGGAGGTGGAAGCCAGGAATGAGATGACTTTCTCCCACTTCATCCAGTTCTACAAAAACCTGATGTTTGACACACAGAAGTCGGTAAGAGATGTGGCTATGGCCCGTCCACCCGAGCGTCCCCAGCTGGTTGCAGCAAGTCCCCACCGGCTAACCCCAGTGTCCCCTTGGCCTTGCAGGTCATCGAGCAGCTGGAGCTCTCCTTCCCCTTGAGGTGAGCACCCGGGCACCCAAGGGTGCTCACAGACCCCTCTGGCACCATGGCCATCCTCTGCGCAGCTGGGCACGAGGGGCAGGGATGGACACAGTACAGGAGAGGGCAGCGGATGGAGACAGTGTGTGTGTCATGGAGGGACCCCCAGCACTGGTTGTCCTGACCTGGGGCCAGGCTGGACGGCAGAAATAAGAGCGGGATGAAAGATAAGGTCCATGGGGAGGAATAGGAAAGTAGATGTGAGGGGAGATAGGAGAGGGAGGTGAGTGGGAAGTGAGGGGGATGTGAGTGGGATGTGAGGGGGGATGTGAGGGGGATGTGAGT